TATGTTTAGAGGCCTGAAGATAAGTAGTGGGGATAATATCAACCGTATCAGGTAAAGGGTGTTTGGTGGCTGAGTAGGCCTTGGGTTTTAGAGATACCAGCTTTAGACCTAGTGATCATAGGATGGGTATTAGGGACGGAAGAAGGCTCATGAGTAACAGGAAGATCCTCTGGAGGTACCGAAACATCAACAGGTACTGGAAGATTTACTTGAGGTACTGGAACATCACCAGGTGCAGGAAGATGCACTTGAGGGACTGTAGAGGAACCAGATTGAGCAGCAGGTATGGTAAATTGTAAATTGACAGAGGAATTCACTGGAGAAGGATCAGTAAGAACAGGAGATGCACCAGGAAAGGCAGAAGATAAACTCTGAAATGGAAAGGTAGTCTCATCAAAAAGGACATGCCGAGAGAGATATAGACACGTTGTGTGACTGGATCAAGACAACGATACCCCTTGTGTTGAAGACTATACCCAAGGAAAACACAGGATGTACTCCTGCTGGCCAACTTGGACGTAGTATAAGGTCTGAGCCATGGATAACAACAACAACCAAAAATTCTGAGTCGAGAATAATCTGGAGAAGTGCCGAAGAGAAGTTCCCAAGGGGATTGCAGTACACCACCAAGGGGAAGTCGATTAATCAGATAAGTAGCAGTGGAAAAGGCTTCAACCCAAAACCTATGAGGCACTTGAGATTGCACCAAGAGTGTACGAGCAGTTTCAACCAAATGACGATGTTTCCGTTCAACACATCCATTCTGCTGAGGAGTATGAGGACAACTAAATTGTTGGAAAATGCCATGAAGTTTAAGAAAATGCTGAAATTGGTGACTAGTAAACTCACCCCCTGAATCAGAGCAAACAACCTTTATTTTATTACCAATAGCGTTCTCTACATAGGACTTGAAGTCCACAAAGGTTGAAAATACAGAAGACTTGGACTTTAAAGGAAAATACCAGCTATACTTGCTGTAATCATCAACAATAAGCAAGTAATATCTATAGCCACTCACTGATACAACAGGAGATGGGCCCCAGACATCACAGTGCAACAGTTCTAGACTTGTAGTAGATACAGATTGAGGAGAACCAAAAGGAAGCTTGTGATTCTTTGCTAAAGCACAGTCTTTGCAGAAGAAGGCCAGAGAGGATGTGCCATGGACAACAACTTTATTGGTAGACAAAACTTTACGAAAAATAGCAGAAGATGGATGACCAAGTCTGCTGTGCCATATGCGAACATTAGCAGCAGTACTTACAAGGGCAGTAGGAGAATGAGAGACAGTGGAGAGAGCAGGTGAACCATGAAGCGGAAAGAATCCATCTTTAACTTGGCCCCGCAAAAGCGTCCTCCCCGTAAAACGATCCTTGACAGAGGATCCATTAATATCAAGAGTCAAAGAACAATCATTATCTTTAATAAACTGATAAGCAGAGAGAGAAGACTATGCTGCATTTGAGGCACATGAAGAACATTGTGCAGTTTAAAAGAGTGAGCAGGAGTATGTAAAAATAGATGTGCCAATATGATCTATAGACAGACCTTTACCATCTCCGATGTACACCTTGTCTTCACCATGATAGGGAGTAGGAGATTGGATATTGGATATATCATTCGTAATGTGAGAGGTAGCACCCGAGTCGATGAGCCAAGAATTGGAGGACTTTGCAGTATAATGAGCACACATGGCAGCAAGTTTAGCTGGAGAAAACTTGCCTGAGATTTCTGGATTCATTCGGTCGAAGCAATCAAGAGCTTCATGACTGGTAGAACCACAAAATTTGACAAGAAGTTTTGTGACCTGAAGAAGAAGCAGGACGATTGAATCCAGAATTATAAGATCCTCGATTGAAACCAGAGTTGAAATTACCACGATTGGAACCACGATTGTAGTTGCGATTAGAACCACGGGAAAATCCTCGGTTAGAGCCACGAGTGTAGCTTCTGGTAGAATTATACCGAAAAGAATTCTGAAGTGGTGATGCGCCAGGATTTGGAGCAACCAGAGCGTGTGGTGGTGGTGTAGGAAGGAGAGGCGCTTGGCTTTGCACAGAGAAAGCATGAAAAGGCTCAGAAGAAGAAGATTTCTTGCGACGCTCCATGGATAACTCCTTAGTGAGCAACAAGCCATGTAATTCATCCAACGAGGTAGAAGAAAGACGAAGTAAGATAGAATCAGTGAAAGATTCAAAATCATCAGTGAGACCGGCAAGAGTCGAAGCAATGAGATCACGATCGGTGACAGAGGCACCAGCGGCAGTGAGAGAATCTGAGATCTCCTTGATTTGTTGAAGATAGTCAGCCATGGATTGAGAGCCTTTCTGAATATTTTGAAGCTTCGAACGCAATTGATGAATGTGTGCATCCGAGACACCACCAAAACGCTGCTCAAGTTTGAGCCAGAGATCACGAGCGGAGGAAACACCGACGGTGAACGGAATGATTTCCTCAGAAAGCGTCGAATTGAACCAGATAAGCAGATTCTGATCTTTCTCATACCATTGCTCAAAATGTGGATTGATTGAGCGATCTGGAAGAAAGGGAGAGGGACAGGGCTCAGTGCCATCAACAATCCCTAGAAGCTTGTAGCGACGAAGAATCGGAGCAAACAAGGCCCGCCACGGCAGATAATTGGATCGCCGGAGCTTGATCGGAACCATACTGCCAATGTTCTGAATCGTGAGAGAATGATACATCTGAGAGGTATTGAGATTTGGGGAAGAAGAATTAGGGTTTGAAGGAGGCACCGACTCAATTGGAGAAGAAGAATCAGAGGGAGACGCCATCAAGATGCAAGAAAAAGAAATCAAGAATCTGAATCAGACGCAAACAATCACGTCGGAGAAGACGATCAGAGAGGAGCGGAAGATCGAAGAAGAAAATTGCAGGATCGAAGAGAGGCCGTGAGGCGGTTTGGCGATGGTACCATGTAGAAAGCCAAGACTCACAGTTTCTAAATATCTCTCATATATTGATTCAATGTAATAATCTTACAGTATGCAGCAGTGTATATATAGACAGTACACTGCTCTAATTACAATTATATCCTTGTCTAATCTATCTATTTACATAAGAAACTTAACACACATCTAACTAATTTTACTTGACTCTTTATTGATAACTACGTCGTTTTTTGTATGTGTTTTAGATATGAAGCATACTGAGGAAATAGAGGGATGAAATGGTGATCGAGATGGCAAGAAATAAAGAGAAAATAATGAACACAAATTCTTAGAATCCTATGTATCAAGTACGGGCGGGCGCAAGTTGGTACGGATCGGGTTTGGGCCAAAATTGTAAACCGAAACCGATCAAGCTGGGTCTAAAATCGATCAAGTTGGCTAACTGAATGTTGCGGGTTGGTTTGGATTGGTTTTCGGTTTGTGCGAAGATGAAAATACATAATAAATTTCTCTTTCAAAAGCTACAGAACATAACACCAATATAAGTGATTGCTTAAATGAAAGCACAAATGAAGTAGCCCAAGGAGAGCATTATAGCAACAACTGCTGTGTTCTCCAAATGGTGCCCCTGTTCTTCTCCAAAGGGATTCTTAAACTAATCTGATTTTGTTTTCATGTGGTGGAAACACGGTAACTTGTAAATAACTAATCATTTATATTATTACACGAATTATTTATAATTAAAAAATAAAATTAAATATATGCGGGTGGGTTCATTTAACCAACCTTAAGGATTTTGGGAACCGATTGTCAAACCAACTAAGGTCGGTGCGGTTCGATTTAAGCATCGAAAAAAAAATAAACAAACCAAACCAAACTGTCGGTGCAGTTCGAGCGGTTCAATCGGTTTTTTTTTCAATGCCCACCCCTAGTATCAAACATGTCCAAAGTGATTTTTAATTTTTAATTTTTAGTTCTTTTTGTGTGTCAATCTTTGTTCCAGTTATTCTACGGACAAGGATTGTCTACCCTCCCTTTTTCCTTGCCCTTCCATGCCCTCATGTTTGTGTGGTCACGGTTAAGCCACGTCAACATTTTATATTACTATTTATTTTTGTCTTATTATTTTTATAAAAAAATAATATAAAATGTTAATGTAGCTTAACCGTAACCACATAAAACAGGAGGGCATGGAAGGGCATGGAAAATGGAAGGGCAGACAATTCTTGTCCTTATTCTACACCTCTCGTATTCTTTTTCTATTCTTCTACTTTCCTAAATTTTCTTATGTATATTTATTCAATTTTAACACAAAAATAAAAATTAAAAACTAAAATCGCAACAGTTATCAATCACAACACTTTTTGAGATGCATAAACTCCAGAATAGACTTGTGAAGGATTTTGCATAGAAAAATGCTAGCAATTTTCTTATTTACCTTCTTATTTGAACTATTTCACTTTTCCTCATGTCACATGTATTTCATTTTTTTTTTTTTTGTTTTTTTTTTTTTTTGGAAGCAGTCACATGTATTTCATTAGCACGCAAAATTATAATTATAATTGCTTAAAATTTAAATTTTAGTTAAAATTTTAGTTTTGAGTGTTAGTGGAGTCCTTGGATAAAGGAGGGGAGGGCATCAAGTAATTGACAGCAGACACTTCTATCTTATCTTTGGAATGCAATCATATTAACTCATATGCACTAGATCTCATCCGAATTTCGAAATTAAGCGAGTTTAAACGAGAATAATATTAGTACGATTGATCCCCTGAAAAGTTCTCATGTTGCATCATTCCACGGGCGAATTGTTGTTGTTGAGTGTTAGTGGAGCTATTTGTGATGACGAGAAAGTGAGAATGTAGATCTGTGAGAAGGTTGGGTTTAGGATTTAGGGTGGCACGCGCACCCCTTTCGCGTGTTTCTATCGCTTCACTTGCACGTGCAAAATAGAAAGATGAAACGCATAGGCATAATTAAATCCAACGTCAGAGAAGAAGACGCGTGTTCAACATATCATCTTTACCACCTGATCCTGACACGTGTCATCAAATCCTATACCAAACCAAATCTCCTTTTGTTCCGCGCCGGAGGATCTTCCCAAAACAAACTAGGCGACTGACTAGATCAGTACTTCTCCCTCCCGCTTCGAGAAAACGTAACAAACTGAACCAGTCCCCGGCAGCGTAGTGAGAGGAATACGACGTCGCAATCCAGCCATGGAAGCGCTACCTATCCCGACGGACACGTACAAACTAGGGTTTATCGGAGCAGGTAAAATGGCTGAGAGCATCGCCAGAGGAATCGTCCGATCGGGGGTTCTCCCTCCCAATCGCATCTCCACCTTCCACCCTGACCCCAGTCGTCGCCAAGCTTTCGAGTCCTTCGGAGTCCATCTCCTCTCCGAAAACGACGACGTCTGAACCCCCCTCCCCCCCCCCTCCCTCTCTCTCCCATTTTCCCTGCTTTTACACGCCTCTGTATCTAATTGAATGACTGAAGTTGCATCGTCATTTTCTCTGTCAAACCTCAAGTTGGTATTTCCACTTTCCATTATCTCGGATTTGTTTGAAATAATGTGCATTGATTGTAAAGATATATATGGGGCATGAATGATTAGGTGGTGATTTTGTGGTTGTTTACTAGATAATGGTATCGTTGTGGTTTTGATTTCGTGCAGTTAAAGATGTAGTTTTGCGGTTGAGGCCGCTTCTTTCCAGAAAGAAGCTGCTTGTTTGAATTGCTGCTGGAGTCAAATTGAAAGATCTGCAGGTCTCTCACTTGCAACTCGTCTTACTTTTATCCACATTGACTGTATGGATTGCCAAAAACCCTGTATTTCATTTTTGAACCTCTTGTTTCCAATTTAATTTGTTGATTTTGATTGTTTGGTGTTCGGGTTTCTGAGGAAAATCATGTTCTGAATCTGTTACATGTGTTAACTGATTTAATTGTTGTACGCGGTGTAGTCAAAAGCTTATATCAGGGTATTGCTAGGCCAAGTTTTTTTAAATAAGCTCTATTCTTAAGTGCGACGTAAGAATAGATTCACATGGCCGTGGGGCACAAACAGGAAGGAATAAAAAAGAAAAAGGAAATATGCAATGCAAGAAGTAGCTAAGAGTGGAGTGAATGAGTTACAAATGTTTCATGCATATGTAATCTTTTTGAAGGCCGAGCCAATTCTTAGTTCTTTGTCTGCCCTCTGGATCTTATTAGAAGTGGACAGTGAAAGAGGACATTTTTTCCCCAAGTGCATTAAGGCCACCCTTTTCTCTGTCTAAATCCATGGGCGAATAAATACATTGTTCTGTTCAGCATTTGGTTTCCTTGCAGTGTCAAATGAATGGATTATATGATGCTACTGTTTACCAAATTTTAGTCATAGCAAAGAAAGCAGGACTGTCTTTTCTATCATGGAGAAATGTGAAGTTCTCAATGTTTGGTTAGCCATACGGAGGCTGAAAGACCGATAAATAACACAAAACATGCGCACTATAATCTGATGAGCTGAAGGAGCAATGTATCATGTGCACATAAAATGTCATCACCTTAGCATCCGTTCTTGAATTTTAAATTCAGGGGACTTGTAGTTTTCCCCTTTGGTTTCCTTTCTATAGGGAAATAGTGCAATTTGTAATTTTTCAAAGGTATTTAAGATATCATGACTGAAAATATAGGGCCATGGGTATTACAGGTCAGTATCTAATCTATAAACAACTGTAATAATTTATCCCAACTTATGAATGTGCCAAGAACCAGAAAGAATATAGGGTCGTGTTTGACAATAATGTTGCTGGCATTTCTCTTTGCACATAGTGAATCAATTGCCCAGACTTACAACAGTTAGCCACTCCCAAGTTTAGCCCCTTTTACACCCTTCAAATTGTACAACAACAACAACAACAAAGCCTTTTCCCACTAAGTGGGGTCGGCTATATGAATCCTAGAACGCCATTGCGCTCAGTTTTGTGTCATGTCCTCTGTTAGATCCAAGTACTCTAAGTCTTTTCTTAGGGTCTCTTCCAAAGTTTTCCTAGGTCTTCCTTTACCCCTTCGGCCCTGAATCTCTATCCCGTAGTCACATCTTCAAACTGGAGTGTCAGTAGGCCTTCTTTGCACATGTCCAGACCCATTTTGTGGACGTGTTGATGCTTCACCGTCCAACATTTTGTGCCATACAGCATCGCCGGCCTTATTGCCGTCCTATAAAATTTTCCCTTGAGCTTTAGTGGCCTACGACGGTCACACAACACGCCGGATGCACTCTTCCTATTCATCCATCCAGTTTGTATTCTATGGTTGAGATCTCCATCTAATTCTCCGTTCTTTTGCAAGATAGATCCTAGGTAGCGAAAACGGTCGCTCTTTGGTATTTTCTGATCTCCGAGGTAGTGAAAACCCATTTGGAGCTAGAAATGTAGGGAATCGACCATACGTACTAGAAGTCCAAACGTGGTCGGTGTTGATCGGAAATTTGGTCTGAATGTGGCCAAATGGTCACGAGCTCTTGTTGAAAAATGTGCAAAATTTCTTCCAAACTTTCAGGGCTAATTTCTAATTTGATAGTTAACCAAAATGAGTGATTCAAAAGCTATTCTGAAGTTAGGAATATAGAGAAGAGACTCATACCCTTGGAAGGATTGATGGAGCACGAGGTTGGCCCGAATAATGGCTAGAGCACGAGGTTGGCCCGAATAATGGCTAGAAAGTGGCCAAATGACCACAGTTTTTGAAGTTTCCAGAAGTTTGGAAAATGTCCCTCGAGTTGTTTTTCTTGCTAACACCTTAACCAAAGTCATTTTTAATCACTAGCCAGGTAATGTAGACTATGTGGAAAGAAATTCAAAGGAGTCTCGGAGCTTACCTTCACCAAAGATGGCGATATGTCGTCAGAAATAGATGCACAGTTATTGCGCTATGCAAGAGAGGGAGAGGTGAAGGAAATTGGGCATGCATGTGTGTTGGTCCTTGGCCTTCCAGCCTCACTGTCTTTTGCAGAAGAAAATGGAAGAACGAAGAGATAGGTGAGGGATGAGAAGGAAATAAGGTGAGCGTTGAAATAATATAAGAGAGAGAGAGAATGAAGTCAATTTCTGATTGGTTGCCAACATTGAAGGAAAGGATGTGAGTGGTGGAGAGTGAAACCGGGAAAAGGAAAAGTTGAAATTGATTGGTGGATGAGATGGGGGAACACGGATCCCTTTTTGAGGAATGGGATTGGATGGATGGATTTTGTACAATTTAAAATGTACAAAATTTGCCTCTTTGACAGTGTTTTGATACTATAAATTTGTATGCACGTGTACAAAACACCCGTATTTAACGTACTTTAACATAGCGTAATTTTTTCGTTACAGATTTGATTCAAGTCTAACACGCTCTCACACATTCATAGCGAAGAGTATTAATTTAGTACGAAACCAGGAAAATGAAACTGAAAACTGAAAACCACGTCCACATCAGATTCTACTTTTGACCAAGTAAAATCGTCAACTCATACCAACGTAAAAGAAATCACAGTGAAAAATAGGGATTGTTCGTCACATGGTTCATTTACTAAAAATTCATGATCATTGGTCCCTTAACTCATAAAACGTGCATATATAGTCATTTTCCTCAACTCTGTTAAAACTTTCGTCAAAATGAGTCATGTACCACGCAAGTGAGGCTAAATCAAGGGGCAAGTATGGAAAACCAAGTGAAAAAAATTGTAATAATTGTCCCTTAACTTTAACTCAATTGATGAAATGATCCCTCAATGTTAATCCATTTAGAGCAATAGTTCCTCAACTCTAATCTAATTATAGCAATGATCCTTTAATTTTAATCCAATTGTAGTAATGGTCATTCCAACATAAATAATTTTGACAGAATTCTAACAGAATTGACGAAAATAATCATAACTGTACGTTATCATAAGTTAAAAAATCAAGGATCGTGAATTTTTAGATAAAAAACCATTGTTTCAATAGAGGGTTTTTTTTTTTTTTTTTTTTTTTTTTTTTTTTTTTTGGTAAACTTTCAATGGAGTTAAAATTGATAAATTATTGCTACAATGACGTCCCCCCATGTTGTGTGAAAAAACGAAAATAAAACTCTCAGACGCTCCGTCCAGTCCCTCCACCACCACAACCAGCTGAGAGCCATCGCTTCCACTACCGTCCCGCAAAACCCACTGACCCAAGTAAGCTCCACACGCGCATTATCCACTCTTTCATCGCCGGCACCATCTTCCACAGCCTCCGAGCTCCGTAAGTACTTGGGCTACACCGCCCTCGTCCTGTTCAGCGCCGCCGCCACCTACTACTCCTTCCCTTTTCCGGAAAACGCCAAGCACAAAAAAGCCCAGATTTGGTGGATGGGATTCAGGAACATGGGATTACTCTACAGAACTTTCCCTCCTATCATTAGGGAGCAGCAGATTGGTGGCATTTTGCAGGTGGGATTTGCTTTCACATTGGGATTTATCTATACTTTGATTGAAATATATATATGTGAATGTAGTTCAGTTCATTTTTAAGGTACTGCTCTATTGGGAAAACTGTAAAAGGATACTGATGTGTGGATACTTTCGGATGTTTTTGTATTTATGAAAGTGTAGGGAAAAAAGGAGAGGATCAGTTATCTAGTTAAGATACAGAGAGGCATTAGGTGATTTTGAATCTTTCTAAATAGTTATGAGTCAACCATGGCAGAGATCAAGAAATATCATAAGTAACTCTTTATTGCTTTCATTGGTAGAATTATCAATTTGTATTCCACTCTGAAAAATAACTACATAAATATCTCCTGAGTAACACTTACAAATTGCAACTAGTTGATGGGAAGCTGAAAAGTATTGAGTGAGCCAACAATCTAATAAAATTTGATAGTAGGGTTTTACACATTTTTTATGGATGGCGAAAACACTTGGGATTAAGTGCTGGAAGATAATTGAATTATTTTCTCAAAGTTGTTTGATTGTAGTGGCTGGTAATGTGATACCTTGACTGGATTTCATCTTTTAAACTCGAGCAATACGATGTGGTGAAAACTAGAAACTGTTGATCACTGCACACACCAAAATTGCTTGTGGCTCTTAAATCTCAGAAGTCATTGATAAGTGAGGCTTAGCTGCAATACTCTCTCTCTCTCTCTCTCTCTCTCTCTCTCTCTCTCTTGATTGGTACAGGATCTGTTTGTTTACAGAATCTTTTTCTTTCCATCCTCAAGAAATTGCTATCCGAGAATAAACATGTGAAGTACCTTTACATTCCATATACCGACACTGTTGTGGTTGTGAAATGTAACCCTGTATCAAAATGGAAAGGTCCCCCGAAGTTCACACTCAAATATAGCAGTGCTGAAGCCATACAACACGTTCGAGATCTCTACAGGGAATGCCTCCAGAAGTACAGGTAAATTGTTCTCTGTTCTTGATCGATCATCTAATCTAGAAAGATATTCTCTTGTGGAGCTGAAGGACAATAAAGTGATGATACCAGTTCTGTTCAGCCCTTTATAAGCATTCATGCCAAATGTCTATCCTTCCTTTTAACAATTTTTGTCTTTCCTTAATCCTCATATTCTATTGGCTTGGAATACATTGCAAGTGCGATCAAATAAAGACATCAAAGTACTACTAGAGCTATATGGCATGATAGGAACAAATTTTTTTTCATCATGTTCTTAAATGACTGCTCACTTTTGCTTTCTTTCTCTGTTTCAATTTCATTTCATTGACTTTGCAATTCTGTTTTCTTGTTACTGGGTTTTGAGAGTCTGCTTATAAACTAGTAAGAACTTTCTGATAGTAACTAATATAGACACATAAACTTGTGCCCAGTAAGCATGGTCAAACTTGGTTGGGATTTGTTTAACCAAGATCTACCGAGGTCATGAAATCCCATCTAATGGAACATTGTATGCTGGTTGGTGGGAACCTTTAACTAAAGGTTCATTAGTAAAATGAAGAACTATGAATATCAGAGCTCAAGTATTTGATTCAATGAGAGCGTCTGTTTACAGGATGCAAACATATTATACTAGGCAACTGTATCATTCTAAACCGCAACTGACCCTCCAGTTGGCTAATGAAAAACTTCTAACAATCCTTGTCTACTAGTTCAACACTAGCATTCTACTTGTCATTCTAACTCGTAACTGACCCTCAATTGGCCAATGCATAATTAATGAAACCCCCCCTCCACCATACATAGACATATAAATGAACCCTCCCTCCTATATTTAGAGAAAAGAACTCAACTATACTTTTTCCAAAACCTACACCAATTTACTTGGGGATCATTTTTGTGAGGAAACCTTAGAAGTGATAGTTTTTAGGTTTCAGAGATTGAGAGGATGATCATGTAAAAAAAATAAAAAATCCAAAGCCTCAGGTATCACTTAAAAATTTCTTGTATGCAGGCTCGACAACTGATTCATCTTTTAACACTACTTTCTTACAGCTTTCCGATTCAAAGATGGATAAGAATTAACTCAAAAAGATACAACAACAATAACAACAACAAAGGCTTTTCCCACTAAGTGGAAGATTAACTCAAGAGATATATGGGAAAAATTGGTTCATGAAATTACCCATGAAAATATATCATCCTCTCTTGTGCTTGAAGCTGGACTCATGGGGCTCTTAGTGCAGGCTGTCCAGCGCTGCTCTATTGGAGCAGGTGCAGGTATCTCATTCTTCTCGATGAGCTGCTTTATAGGTATAACATGGCTCACTGACCTTTTCAATAGGATTCTGAAAACGAAGAAGATGCCAAATGAGTGGCGAACGAGCACTTGGTGCCTATCTACAAGAATAAGGGCGATGTACAAAATTGCATGAACTATAGGGGTATTAAGCTAATGAGTCATACAATGAAGCTCTGGGAGAGAGTCATTGAGCATAGATTGAGGCAAGAGACACGGGTTTCGGACAACCAATTCGGGTTCATGCCAGGGCGCTCAACCATGGAGGCAATCTATCTCTTACGAAGATTGATGGAACGATATAGAGATGGGAAAAAGGATTTACACATGGTCTTTATAGATTTGGAAAAAGCGTATGATAGGATCCCAAGAGACATTCTTTGGAGGATTTTAGAGAAGAAAGGAGTACGAGTAGCATATATCCAAGCTATACAGGATATGTATGAAGGGAGCAAAGACTGCCGTAAGAACTCATGAAGGACAAACCGAAAGCTTTCCCATAACTGTAGGATTACATCAAGGTTCATCCTTAAGTCCTTACCTTTTTGCGTTGGTAATGGATGAGTTAACAGGACATATTCAAGATGATATTCCTTGGTGTATGCTTTTCGCAGACGATATAGTGTTGATAGATGAAACTCAGGAAGGGGTAAATGCAAAGCTTAACCTTTGAGAGAGAAGTGTTGGAATCTAAAGGTCTTCGCCTAAGCCGATCAAAGACAGAATATATGGAGTGCAAGTTCAGTGCAAATGGAGGCCAAAACGAGTTAGGGGTGAGGATCGGAGATCAAGAAATAACAAAGAGCGACCGTTTTCGTTACCTAGGATCTATCTTGCAAAAGAACGGAGAATTAGATGGAGATCTCAACCATAGAATACAAGCTGGATGGATGAAGTGGAAGAGTGCATCAGGCGTGTTGTGTGACCGCCGTATGCCACTAAAGCTCAAGGGAAAATTCTATAGGACGGCAATAAGGCCGGCGATGCTGTATGGCACAGAATGTTGGGCGGTGAAGCATCAACACGTACACAAAATGGGTGTAGCGGAGATGAGGATGCTTTGTTGGATGTGTGGGCACACGAGAAAGGATAAGATTAGGAATGAGGATATCCGGGGTAAAGTAGGAGTAGCCGAAATTGAAGGAAAGATGAGAGAAAATCGGTTACGGTGGTTTGGACATGTGCAAAGAAGGTCTACTGACGCTCCGATTAGAAGATGCGACTATGGGACAGAGGTTCAGGGCCGAAGGGGTAGAGGCAGACCTAGGAAAACTTTGGAAGAGACCCTATGAAAAGACTTAGAGTACTTGGATCTAACAGAGGACATGACACAGGACAGAACACAATGGCATTCTAAGATTCATATAGCCGATCCCACTCAGTGACTTGGATTTTCCAAGTCTCCAACCGAGAAGTTTTCCTCACTCGGGAAATTAAGGGAACACTACCTCAACCTACATGCTCCACTCACAAAGCTTCAACATATAAGCTTCAACAAAAGAAAATTCAAAGAACTTAGCGAAGAAGGCTTTGGTGTATTTAACACAATACGTTGAAATGAAGGAAAACTTATTTATTGATATCCCCGATAAGTTACAAATATGTACATATACTTGAGTCAAAATAAACAAACAAGAGGGGAGCCTTCACAAAGGTTGCTTAGGAGAAGTCTCAGCAGTCGGTAGAGCCCCAGAAAGAGAAGGCACCGGAGGGGGATCATTCGGAGCCTCAGTACTGGACAGAACCCTAGAAGGAGGAGGCATCAGAGGTTGATCATTTGGAGCTTCATTAAGCGGTACAGCCCCAGAAGACGAAGGCAATAAATGCCTTTGGAACAAACCCACAAATCTCTGATGATCAAGTAAAACCTGACCATCAGATTCCTTCATCTGGTCAAGCTTCCTCTTCATGTTTGTAGCATAGTCATGTGCGAGCCAGTGCAACTGTTTATTCTCATGCTTGAGCCCTCTAATCTCCTGTTTGAGACTCATCACTTCAGCCGCCAATGATTCAACTTGGCGGGTTCGAGCAAATAGGCGTTGGGCCATATTAGACACAGAACCTGCACACTGAACACTGAGAGCCAGAGAATCCTTAACAGCCAACTCATCAGACCGTTTGGAAAGTAGTCTGTTATCTTTGGGAGTGTGAAGGTTCCTGGCCACTACCGCAGCGGTCATATCATTCTTCATCATGGAATCCCCAACGGTAAGAGGACCAGTAGGGGAGACGAAGGATGGGCGCCTTATGTTGTCTGGAGAAGGCGAGACTGCCTCTTCAACAAGGTTCAAGTCAAAACGACAGTCGAAGGAGCCAGACATTTTCAAAGGTGTTGAAGAGAGAAGAGGTCGGACAAATCAAGATCTTAGAAGTGCAAGAATGGAGCTTCTACTGGTGGATATTCAAGTGTGCTTTGGAACTTAATGTCAGCCCCTATAAAAATCTGCACTCGACGAAGCTTCAGAAATCGAAGAGGCGCCTGCTCAGAAATCGAAGAAGCGTTTGCTTTCTCAAAAGCTGGGCTGCTCAGAGACCACGAGGGTCGATCTCAGAAATCGAAGAGGCTTGCTTTCTCAAAAGCTGGGCTGCTCAGAGACCACGAGGGCCAATCTCAGAAATCGAAGAGGCACCTACTTTTCCAACCTTGTCAGCACCTGTCACACGCACACTCAGCTTTGCGGAAATTATGGGCATTCTGTCGAAGATTTCTGGCGAAGTAGAAAGCACATGAATCGTACTGTTCAATCACCCACTTCCCACACGCAACAGTAGCTCATGGGTACCACAGATAACTTTGCCAAAGTTCTCTGACAAAGTTGAGACACATGAAGCTTGCAGCTCCCACTACATCGCTCTGACCAAGAAGGGTAAAAGAATAGCAAAGAAACAACACTAACAAAGTTTAGACACATAAATTTTGAAGGTCTAGCTACCATATTATTACCCACAAGGGTAAAGGAACAGTACCACTGCTGGATAATTGGAAAGTCCCGGTGTGTCAACCTCTAGCAAACATGCCCAACCTTTACTCACATTCGAGAAAACACTCCCAACAAGATTGCTTGCTCCAAAATCGAAGAGGCACCGCCCTCCGAATCTCGAGAGCCAGACTCCCAACATGATTACTTTCTAAAAAATCGAAGAGAGGGTAAAGGAACAGTACCACTGCTGGATAATTGGAAAGTCCCTGTGTGTCAACCTCTGTGCTTCGTGGCAAGGTAGATTAGCAAACATGCCCAACCTTTACTCACATTCGAGAAAACACTCCCAACAAGATTGCTTGCTCCAAAATCGAAGAGGTACCGCCCTCCGAATCTCGAGAGCCAGACTCCCAACATGATTACTTTCTCAAAAATCGAAGAGACACCGCTCTCCGAATCTCGAGAGCCCAGCAAGATTGCTTTCTCAAAAATCGAAGAGGCATCGTTCTCCGAATCTCGAGAGCTAGATCCCCGACAGGATTGCTTGTTCAAAAACCGAAGAGGCACCACTTTCCCAACTTCAAGAGCTGGATCTCCTTGGATAAAGCTTGTCTGTAATCTTCACACGCAACATCAGCTTTCCAGATACTACAGACCACTTTTTCAAAGTGCTCTGACAGAGTTAAAACATGTGAAGCTGGCAGCTCCTACTACCGTGCTATGACCAAGCAGGGTAAAGGAATAGCATTATTACTTGATGTTAGGGAGACTCCTATATATGTCGACCTCCATCCCCAATGGACAGGCAGACCTGCAAAAATGCTCAACCCTTCCTCTTATCTGAGAGGGCACTCCCAACGAAGCCTTTCGAAATATTCAGCTTTCTTTCCCCCTGATAACACCTCTGTAAACAAGCTATACTAGAGCAAGAATATCTCATATCATCAGGGTTAAAAGCAAGAGTATCCCATATCGTGCTTTTTCCATGTCTTTTCCTTTGGCCTTGTTCTTCCTGCAAGACAAGGAGAATGAGAGCAATCAGTCAGCACTTGGAATCAAGCTTCCAGCCAGGAACTGACTGCCTGGAACCCCTTACCTGATTACTTACCTGACATTGCTCTCGAGTACTCATCTTCAACATCTTATGCTTCCAGGGAAGATACCGCATCTGCCTGAGGAACAGATAGGGCAAGTGAGAAGGATACAAGGAAGCATGTGGAGACAAGCGTAACAGCACACGTGCCGATACATCCACTACTCTGTCAAAAGCAAAAGTATCCCATATCAGCAGGGTCGAACGTACTCTAGATTTGATGGACTTGTTTTGACCCTCAAATTCTTCAGTCGGCCTTATACTCTAGAGGAAACCAGAAAACCCTCCAGCCCAGTTCAAGAATAAGCCTGTGGAAAGTTACTTCTTCAAAAGCAAAAGTATCCCATATCATCTCTTCTCATTTTTCTTCTCTTTATCCTTCATGCTGCCTGCAAGATAGGGAGAATGTGAACAATCAGCCGGAGCTCTGATTGCTTACTTTGTCTGTCACCTCTTTCAGCAGATCCCCTAGCTCGGCGACTTGGGGGACTCCTACTACATGGTTTGTATCGCGCTTGACCAAGGCTGAAACTACAAGTAAGCTTCAAGTGAAATTGATACATTACCTTGTGCATCTCCACCAGTTACAGATACCACCCCTGGATGGAGGAAGAGTACTTCCAGAGAAGATGCCACGTCTACCTATGAGACAGATAAGGCAAGTCAAGACGATACCACACTCCGGTACTTAGAAGTTTCGTGGTTACGAGATCATTCTCCCACAATATTTTCCTAATGTCATTTGTACTAAATCATTCACACTTGTACTCACTAAAGGAGAGCTTGAACCTATGTACTTGTGTAAACCCTTCACAATTAATGAGAACTCATCTATTCCGTGGACGTAGCCAATCTGGGTGAACCACATACATCTTGTGTTTGCTTTCCTATCTCTATCCATTTATATACTTATCCATACTAATGACCGGAGCAATCTAGCGAAGATCACAAAAAGTGACCGTTTTCGCTACCTAGGATCTATCTTGCAAGAGAACGGAGACTTAGATGGAGATCTCAACCATAGAATACAAGCTGGATGGATGAAGTGTAAGAGTGCATCCGGCGTGTTTGTGTGACCGTCGTAGGCCACTGAAGCTCAAGGGAAAATTTTATAGGACGGCAATAAGGCCGCGATGTTGTATGGCACATAATGTTGGGCGGTGAAGCATCAACACGTACACAAAATGGGTGTAGCGGAGATGAGGATGCTTCGTGGGAGGTATGGGCACACGAGAAAGGATAAGATTGAGAATGAGGATATCCGAGGTAAAGTAGGAGTAGCCAAAATTGAAGGAAATATGAGAGAAAATCGGTTCCGGTGGTTTGGACATGTGCAAAGAAGGCCTACTGACGCTCCGGTTCGAAAATGTGACTACGGGACAGAGGTTCAGGGCCGAAGGGGTAGAGGAAGACCTAGGAAAACTTTGGAATAGACCCTAGGAAAAGACTTGAGTACTTGGATCTAACGGAGGACATGACACAAAACCGAGCGCAATGGCGTTCTAGGATTCATATAGCCGACCCCACTTAGTGGGAAAAGGCTTTGTTGTTGTTGTTGTTGTTGTTGTTACTTTTCATAAGAAAGGAGGAGGCTAATTTAGTAGAATCATTTCTGGAAAGAATTTCCATTTGTTATTCGTCTTTGTTTTGAATCCCAAGGAAAGTGGTGGATTAGTTATGAGAGATTTTATTGGGAAGAGTAGTAGGCTCACTTGGTTAGTTGGAACTCTGTTTCTCAACCTCAATCAAAACGGGTTTGACCTTTGAGAATATTTGATGTGAGGAATATTTCTTTCTGGTCAGTTGGTTTTTGGGATTTCTTTCATAGCAGAACTCTCTGGCAAAATTGGACAAAAAGGTTATATGAATTGCATGAAAACAGTTAGGCTTGTTCAGGGTCTGATGTGGTGACTTCTAAGTGTCCTTGGGAGGCTATTTCCTGAGAATATCATGACTGCATCTTTCATTAAAATTTGATGGCGGATTCCCTTTGATTCAATCCTTAATCTTGTTTTCTTACCTTGGAAAAGATAAAAGATCTTGGTTCCTGATTCTTTGGGTTTTCTAGCAAAAGCACTTCTTTGAGAATTTGATTGATGGCTCATTTTGTTTCCTATCAGGGAAACAATATAGAATTTTATTGACGGGTTGATTATTTCATTATCAGATTTTAGGGTTTATGGTTCATTGTTTCATATAAAAAAGCCCCTTTGTGCTGTTATGTTGATTCATCTGTGCATTGCAGTTAACTATTTACACGTTACTTGCAGGGTAGTTCCAGATAAGAGTGAAGTAGACATGAATGTGCTCTCATTTACTGAGTTAAGAGATAAACTACTCGCCCTAGATCCTCTCGACAAAGATCACGTTGCAAAGGTTAACCAAGCTGAGGCTGAGTTCTGGAAGAAGTTGGAGGGATACAGAGTGGGATAGAGTGATGAAATTTTGGGCTTTGATTGTGGTGGTCAACAGTGGGTCTCAGAGACTTGTTTTCCAGCAGGAACCCTTGCCAAACCAAGCATGAAAGACCTTGAATACATAGAAGGTATAAAGCAGCTCATCGAGAAGAATGAGATACCTGCACCTGCTCCAATAGAGCAGCGCTGGACAGCCTGCACTAAGAGCCCCATGAGTCCAGCTTCAAGCACAAGAGAGGATGATATATTTTCATGGGTAATTTCATGAACCAATTTTTCCCATATATCTCTTGAGTTAATCTTCCACTTAGTGGGAAAAACCTTTGTTGTTGTTATTATTGTTGTATCTTTTGGAGTTAATTCTTATCCATCTTTGAATCGGAAAGCTGTAAGAAAGTAGTGTTAAAAGATGAATCAGTTGTCGAGCCTGCATACAAGAAATTTTTAAGTGATACCTGAGGCTTTGGATTTTTTATTTTTTTTACATGATTAAGCAAAGCTTGATATATTAATTGGTGGGAAAAATCTTGCCGGGTTTAGCATTAGGATATCTCCTTTAGGTTTAACTGAGAGTTAGTGACGATGTTCAAGTTGAATATCAGAGTGCACAACGAACAAGACTAACAAAAAAAAAGGTCGTACCCAGTGCACAAGGCTCCCGCTTTACGCAGGGTTTGGGAGAGGTGAATGTCGGCTAGCCTTACCCCCATTTATGGAGAGGCTGCTCCCAAGTCTCGAACCCGACTAACAAAATAAGAAATATTATTGATATCAAATGAATGCCGAAACGGCTACAAAACCCTAAGATGCTACATTGTGACTAACTTGATTCCTCAAACTAAATTACAAGCTCTATTTATAGAGCAATAAACCTAAGAAACCCTAATGCGTAAATGTCAAAAATACCCTACTACAAAATCAAAACAAATCTCTAATTAATTTCCTAAATAAACCTAATAAATTCCAACAGTTCATGCTGATTACTGGTTTGTGTCATGGTCCTAAGAGGAACTTGACATGTTTATTGAATAGGTAACACAACACGACTTGTGTAACCTGTTAATAAAGGGATTTTAACCAGAACCCATTTACCTGTATAATAAGCCAATATCATCATCTCATTGATGAAATGACATGATGCAACCCACTATATAGGTCACTATAACATGTTTACAAGAATTCAACCTACTTGACTTGTATGTCATGTTTGTATAAGAAACCAAAGTTTATCAGTAAATATATAACTAAAAGAAAATACAAGTAAGGTGAACAAGATGCTTAACTAATTCGATAACCTCAAAGAGAAATGCAGAATACACTCAATACAACACTCCTCCACCCCTCCCCAATCAAGAAAATTGTAGTTAAATATTAAACATCAAACAAGAACATGACTCAATATGCGTACCAAGATATAAGTCATCACTCCCTGTTACACTTATTAGTGTTTGATTTCTGGATTGAGTTTCTTCAATGGAAAAAATGAAAGCAGAAATGTATAGAGAGGAAGAGATTAGAGAGCCATGGAAGCTTCAAGGTTCATTGGATTCCACTCTCACCAAGCAAGAAACTCGGAGAGTATATATTACCGTTAAAGGAGAGTGAGTAACTCACTCTCTCTCTCACATCATTACAACTCAATCACAACCATCCATTTGTAAGTCATCATGTAAGAAGCTTACACCTATCATGAGCTATGACTCATTACAATCTAATCTAGATGCCATATGGAATATGATCCAAAGGCTCACATTACATCTTACCACTTGCATATAATAAAACCAACATAGCAAATACATTTTTACACCAATACTCCCTTCTAAATGTTTTGCTAATTTCATTCCAAGTGCAGCTCTCAAATACTAAAACCGATCCTTAGGAAGAGCCTTGGTAAAAATGTTTGCCAATTGCTCCTCTATTCTGCAGTAGTTCAATTCAATGGTGCCATCTTGAATAGCATCCCTTATGAAGTGATATCTCCTGTTGATATGCCTTGTTTTCTGGTGGAACACTAGGTTCTTGGACATGGCTATGGCAGAGGTGTTGTCACACAACAAAGGTGTAGCCTCCACTTGTTCCTCTCCAAAATTAGATAACACAAACCTCAGCCACATTGCTTGTGTTATAGCTTCTGCAGCACTTACATATTCAGCTTCTGTAGTGGATAGAGCCACACTACATTGCTTAACTGAAGCCTAAGAAAATATCCCTAAGCCAAAGCTGAATGCATAGCCCGAAGTACTCTTCATATCATCCAAGCTTCCTGCACAATCATTATCACAGTAGCCTATTAACACCACAGCTTTATCGTTCACATACTCAATCCCAAAATTCAGTGTCCCTTGTACATATCTTAAGACCCTTTTAGGTGTCCCCATGTGTTTTCCTGTAGGTTTATGCATAAATCTTGCTAATAAACATGATGCATACATCAAATCTAGTCTAGTAGCTATTAGGTATAACTACCAACCATTTTTCTATATAAGCCTTCATCAGCATCCTCACTTCCATCAACCTTAGATAGCTTCTCATTGATTGCAAGTGGAGTCAGTCTTTTAAACCAAACTTCTCAAGTACGGACTTGGCATATTTCTTCTGATGGATAAATATGCCCTTATCAGTTTGAATTATGCCTAAACCAAGGAAATGGTGCAGCATTCCCAAGTCTGACATCTCATACTGTTTCATCATATCCATCTTAAACTCTTGAATGATTTCATCAGAACTCCTTGTGTAGATAATGTCATCTACATACAGAGACACAATAAGCACTGAATAGCATCCCTTATGAAGTGATATCTCCTGTTGATATGCCTGGAACATTGGGTTCTTGGACATGGCTATGGTAGAGGTGTTGTCACACAGCAAAGGTGTAGCCTCCACTTGTTCCTCTCCAAAATTAGATAACACAAACCTCAGCCACATTGCTTGTGTTGTAGCTTCTGCATCACTTACATATTCATCTTCTACAGTGGATAGAGCCACACTGCATTGCTTAACTGAAGCCTAAGAAAATATCCCTGAGCCAAAGCTGAATGCATAGCCCGAAGTACTCTTCATATCATCCAAGCTTCTTGCCCAATCATTATCACAGTAGCCTATTAACACCACAACTTTACCGTTCACATACTCAATCCCAAAATTCAGTGTCCCTTGTACATATCTTAAGACCCTTTTAGGTGTCCCCATGTGTTTTCCTGTAGGTTTATGCATAAATCTTGCTAATAAACATGATGCATACATCAAATCTAGTCTAGTAGCTGTTATGTATAACTACCAACCATTTTTCTATATAAGCCTTCATCAGCATCCTCACTTCCATCAACCTTAGATAGCTTCTCATTGATTGCAAGTGGAGTCAGTCTTTTAAACCAAACTTCTCAAGTACGGACTTGGCATATTTCTTCTGATGGATAAATATGCCCTTATCAGTTTGAATTATGCCTAAACCAAGGAAATGGTGCAGCATTCCCAAGTCTGACATCTCATACTGTTTCATCATATCCATCTTAAACTCTTGAATGATTTCATCAGAACTCCTTGTGTAGATAATGTCATCTACATACAGAGACATGATAAGCACTGAATAGCATCCCTTATGAAGTGATATCTCCTGTTGATATGCCTGGAACACTGGGTTCTTTGACATGGCTATGGCAGAGGTGTTGTCACACAGCAAAGGTGTAGCCTCCACTTGTTCCTCTCCAAAATTCGATAACACAAACCTCAGCCACATTGCTTGTGTTGTAGCTTCTGCAACACTTACATATTCAGCTTCTGCAGTGGATAGAGCCACATTGCATTGCTTAACTGAAGCCTAAGAAAATATCCCTAAGCCAAAGCTGAATGCATAGCCCGAAGTACTCTTCATATCATCCAAGCTTCCTACCCAATCATTATCACAGTAGCCTATTAACACCACAGCTTTACCGTTCACATACTCAATCCCAAAATTCAGTGTCCCTTGTACATATCTTAAGACCCTTTTAGGTGTCCCCATGTGTTTCCCTGTAGGTTTATGCATAAATATTGCTAATAAACATGATGCATACATCAAATCTAGTCTAGTAGCTGTTAGGTATAACTACCAACCATTTTTCTATATAAGCCTTCATCAGCATCCTCACTTCCATCAACCTTAGTTAGCTTCTCATTGATTGCGAGTGGAGTCAGTCTTTTAAACCAAACTTCTCAAGTACGGACTTGGCATATTTTTTCTGATGAATAAATATGCCCTTATCAGTTTGAATTATGCCTAAACCAAGGAAATGGTGCAGCATTCCCAAGTCAGACATCTCATACTGTTTCATCATATCCATCTTAAACTCTTGAGTCGTTTCATCAGAACTCCTTGTGTAAATAATGTCATCTACATACAGAAACACAATAAGCACACCTGCATCACTGAATTTAGTATACAAAGTAGCTTCACTTTGATTTTTCTTGAACCCAGACTTGTTGAAGTATGTATCTATCTCATCATACCAAGTTCTGGGAGCTTGTTTCAAACCATATAAAGCCTTTTTCAGTTTGTAAACTTTGTCTTCTTGCCCTTTGACTTCAAATCCCTATGGTTGTTCAACATATACTTCCTCATGCAGTGTACCATTTAGAAATGCAGATTTGACATCCAATTGGAACAATTTCCATTCCTTTTGGACTGCCAATGCAATTAAGGTTCTAATGGTATCAAGCATTGCCACTGGTGCAAAGGTCTCATTGAAATCAACCCCAGGCATCTGAGAGTATCCCTTTGCCATTAATCTTACCTTGTTTTTCTTCACTGAGCCATCCAGATTAAGCTTTGTCTTATAGACCCATTTGACACCAATTACTAGTTTATCAAATGGCCTATTGACTAACTCTCATGTGTCATTCTTTTCTATCATTTCAATCTCTGTAGACGTAGCTCTTCTCCAAGCTTCATCCCCTGATGCCTCTTCAAAACACTCAGGTTCTATTACACAGAAATTGCACCTCTCATACACTTCATTCAAGCTCCAGAACTTAAGTGGTGTGTGATCATACTCTTGTGGTCCAGTGTGACTCACTTGTTCCCTTTGACTTGGAGGAGAAACAATAACTCGTTCTTGTTGCTCCTATAATGGTTTCGTTGACCCTAAAAACTACCAAGCCTACGTGGCGCGCAGACCGAGTAATCTATGAGCTAACTACGTCCTTCGATTGAATGCGGGGTGTGCCAACTCGTCGGCCGAGTTCGTCCGAGGAGTAAAATGGGTTGATGTTGCGTTGGGTACGCGGCTGACTTCTATGTCTTGCGATTGTGATCGAGGAAGGAACACGTCTCGGCCTCTTGGGTTCTCGAACCTGAAGACAAGGCTACTATTCTTACGAAGTTCACAAATCGTCGTCGTTGGATTCAGTTACAGTGATGGTATTCGTCAGAGTAAACTCACGCTTAATCGACATCAAAGTGTAAGGGCACAAATACTCAAAGTGGATACAAGTCTTAACAGTAAACGTGGTTTAGCCGTCGAAGTGCCGAACTCTAAATCCCACTTGAGAGTATCCAATCATAAAATAACTCGGCGTGCAATGTGCCGAGCCCAATAAACCGTAACACCTCACTTCGCCGAGAAGGCTGATGAGATGACCTCGACCAATAAGGATTCGAAAATCCTCCTTGACCGAGACTTGGATAGGTAACCAGTCGCCCTTGACGCAGTGCTATCTATGTCGACTGAAGATGCTGTGAGACCGTCTGATTCTACGGCGACAGTGCTGTTTATGCCAACTGAAGATATCACCGGTTGCCTTCACAGTGCTGTTTATCCAAACTGAAGGTGTGTCGGCGAAAAGAGAAGAAAAAAATCTGAAGGTCGTTGAGAGAATTTGCGCAGGGCAGTTGTGTGTTGAATTGGAGGTCCTTTGAATGTTGCACCAAGTCTTATATTTGTAGTATTCATTTTTCTGCTTGGGAAGGTCTGATAATATTGTAGAGTTTAATTGCAACTCTAATTCCTAAAGTTGATCCGCGTCAAAAGGCAAGCATATCTTCAAATTGTAGTTCATGACTTCAACTCTCTAATTGTTGCTGATGACCACTCATTTATCCCATGCATAATCATAATAAATGAAACTCTGACCACTTTATCTTTTATGCACCTACAGTCACACCTTAGACCTTATCACATCAATCAAAGCTTAATCCCATCAAAATAACCACCATTATATATATAACTATATAGTTTGGGAGATTTTTGCACGGCATAGGCTGATGGGCATGCAGACTATACAGCCTACATATATATATATATATATATATATATTATATATATATATATATATATATATATATATAACTTGTAGCTTTTCACACGGCATGCAAGTCTTCCATCATCTGACAACATCCTAGCTTGCTTAGGTCCTATCCACCATTATCTTCGGCTTGCAGATCCATGTTAGGCCAAGTGAAAAGTCCAAGAATCTCTATAATTTATTTTGTACAAGAAAACTAAGATAATTTATTAAAAGATAATTATTATGATTAAAAACCATCATATTATCTCTTAACAATAGCAAATTATCTTAACTTTCTTATCTGACGATTAAGAACCATGTTTACTCAACGGCCTCGATTGCTTGGGCTGATGGTGTAAAATCGGGCCCAAACAGGTTCTGTGCATTCCAATTCTTCATCATTCAATGCAATTTCAACATCACTCCCTTCATCTTCATATACTTCATTTGAGACTGAAATTGACAAATTTTTCTTAGCACACGATTTCCAGTCCCTACAAGAGTTCTCATCAAAGATTACATCTCTAGAGATAACAATCTTATTGGTTTTTGGATTGAACAACCTGTAACCTTTCTCACAGGTTCCATAACCAAGAAAAATGCATTTGACACTTGTTGCATCCAGTTTTTGTCTCATCTGTGATGGAACTTGTGCATAGCATAGAGATCCAAATACTCTTAAGTGTTTCACTCCAGGCTTCCTTCCACTATAAGCTGCAAAATGAGTCTTCTTATTCAGGGCTTTGGTAGGACATCTATTGAGAATATAGACTGCAGTGTTAACTGCTTCTGCCCAAAATTTAAATGGAATACCCTTCTCTAACAACATGCATTTATCCATTTCTACAATGGTCCTATTTCTCCTCTCTGCAACACCATTCTGTTGAGGAGAATAGGCCACTATGAGCTGTCTTTCCAAACCAAGATCTTCACAAAACTGAGAAAATTCAAGTGAAGTGTACTCTCCTCCCTTGTCACTTCTTAATCTTTTCAGTTTGTACCCACTTTGTAGTTCAACAGTTGCTTTGAATTTCTTGAACACACTAAATGCCTCAAATTTACTTCTCAGAAAATAGACCCATCCCATTCTGGTACAATCATTTGTGAAGGTGATAAAGTACTTGTTTCCAGATTTGGTAGGTGTTTGCATTGGTCCACATATGTCAGTGTGAATCAATTCCAATGATAAGGCAGCTCTCCACTTTGTTTCTTTAGGAAAAGCATCTCTGGAATGCTTGCCAAATGCACATCCCTCACATACTATGGTATTCACTTTCAGCTCAGGTAGTCCAGTTACCATTTCATGTTCTTGTAGCTGTATTAGAGCATTCATGTTTAAATAACCGAGTCTTCTATGCCATATCTCAGCAACTTGCCCAACACTAGCTCTCATGGCAATTTGGATTCCTGGTTGCAACTTCAAGGGAAAGCTTCGATTTCCTTTCATAAGGACCTTGACAACAAGGTTAGAGCATGTGAAATCATCATAGATTCTGACTTCAATTCCCCCAAATACAAGGTAGTACCCATGCTTCATCATATGTCCCACACTCAACAAATTCTCTTTCAAACCAGGTCTTAACATTATCTCCCTTATGTACCTTTTGCCTTGCTTAGTTTCAACCATTAAATCATCCTTTTCAACCACATCAACCAATTGTCCTGTGCCCATCTCAACTTTTGGCAGTGACACTTCTATCTATATTCACCAATATCTTCTCTTCCTGTCATGTGGTTACTACTGCCATTGTCAACATACAAAATGTCTTCACCTTTCTTCACAGCAGCTGACATACAAACATAGAACATAGTTGGATTGTTCTCCACTTGACCGACATAATTTGCCTGTTGAGTAGCTTTCTTGGACCTACAATCCTTGGCAAAATGTCATGGCTTATCACAGTTATGACACCTTGGTTTCCCCTTGAACCAACACTCTCCAAAATGTAATTTGTCACAGTATTTGCAAGGGTTCTTGGCTCCATCAGAGGGTCCAACAAATTTCCCTTGCTGGTGCACAGGTCTGTTATCCCACTTCTTACCCTTTGTCTTCCAATTCTTTGTGGGTTTGAAGTTTTGATTTGCATTATAATTGTTCTTCCTGGGAGCTATACTTAAGCTAGCAAACGCTTTCTCAATACTGTTGTTAGAATGCCTCTCAATTCTTTGTTCATACCCTTTTAGAGTCGCAACTACATCCTGCACATCAACTATCTCCAAATCCCTAGTATTTTCAATCACAGCTACAATACTATCATAGGATTTAGGGTGGCTAATTAATAAATTCTGCACAATTCTTTGATTTCCAATATCTTCACCATAACTTTTCATTTGTGTAATAAGATCAAGTAATCGCACAAGATACACAGAGAATGTTTCATGCTCACTCATGCAAGTATATTCAAAATCACGCCTTAAACTTTGAAGTTTCAGGGATCTCACCTGTTTGTCTCCAATAAACTCTTGCTTCAGTACATCCCAAGCTTCCTTTGCCGTCTCTAGTATGGCGATCCTTGGAAAAATTTCATCTAACACAGCTCCTTGAATGATGCCGAGAGCCTTAGCATCTTTGACTATGTTCTGCTTCAAGAGCTTAAGCTACGTTGCAGTGAGCTCTTCTCCTCTTTTCGTCGGAGGACCATATCCCTTCTCAACCATATCCCACAGATCGTGAGATCTGAATATGGTCTTCATCTTTATCTGCCAGAAATCAAAGTTTTCTCCATTGAAAACCGGTGCCCAAAGATCAGCACCACTTGATCCAGCCATATTAGACTTGTTATCTAGTAACCTAGAAATTTTCAGAGCTTTCTTCGGTCGTAACAACACCCAATTCTCCTTCGAGTTCTGTCGCTGCCAACCACGTCACAGTTTCACGCCAAGATCGAGATCGAACTTGGCTCTGAGGCCATTTAGCGTTTGATTTCTGGATTGAGTTTCTTCAATGGAAAAAAATGAATGCAGAAATGTATAGAGAGGAAGAGATTAGAGAGCCATGGAAGCTTCAAGGTTCATTGGATTCCACTCTCACCAAGCAAGAAACTCGGAGAGTATATATTACCGTTAGAGGAGAGTGAGTAACACACTCACATCATTACAACTCAATCACAACCATCCATTCTTAAGTCATCATGTAAGATGCTTACACCTGTCATGAGCTATGACTCATTACAATCTAATCTAGATGCCATATGGAATATGATCCAAAGGCTCACATTACATCTTACCACTTGCATATAATAAAACCAACATAGCAAATACATTTATACACCAATAACACTGAGGTTCTGACACTTTTGCCTCAGATATTTAGTACTGCTTAATGATTTTTTTTTTTTTTGTTTTTTTTTTTTTTTTGTCAAGTACTGGTATAAATTATAATGATTTGACGTTCATATTTTAGATCTCAATCTGGTTTGGGCAACAAATAATTTGTAAAACTTTTGAGGACCATGATTCAGTATTGAGGTTGCTTGACCAAAATTGAAACCCGCATCAAGTTTCAATCACATTCAGTTGCGTTGGCTTCCTTCTTTCAGCACTTTCTAATCTGCTTTAGATGCAGCCCTTGGATAGAGTTTTGTTGTGGGCTTTATGGTATACATGCTCGGATAATTATTTACCTCGCTTAGCAAAATGCTTTTACCGACTGCAATGCTCATAAGTCAAAGCTGTTTTTAATTTTGCAACAGGTTGGTATAATCATGTACCTTCCTACAACGATCCCCGCCAAAGAAAGGAAATTACAGAAGAGTTGTTTCACTACAGGCGACTGACCCATACACAATTGTGGGATAAGTATTCCGCTTATGAACACTGGGCTAAGATTGAGGTACTAAATTCATCTTACGTTATTATCTTCTTAATCTCTTTATAAAAAGATGTTGCCACCGTGATATTACCAAGTCCCAAATACTTTTTTTAGTTTCTGCTTTTCTTTACCCACAAAGTCAATACATTTTAAAGGGGTCATTCAAATGCGCCCTGAACAATCAATCTTTCTATGGGAACAACTAGAGTAGCATACGTGGGTTAAAATTGTGTTGACTATGAACCTCCTCTAAGGAATTCCACCCATTTATCTCTGTAAATTGGCTCAATACAAGATGTTATATTTTTCAAGCATTTACACGTTTGTCATGTGCAGGTTCCGAAGGACAAGGATGAACTTGCCGCTCTCCAGGACAGACTAAGAAAGCGATTTCCAGTTGATGCATACAACAAAGCTCGAAGGGAGTTGGACCCTAACAGGATCCTTTCAAATAACAAGCTGGAAAAGCTTTTCCCGTTATCAGATACCGTCTGACAGCCATCCTTCATTGGTTAGTTATTCATTAGTGCCTTCTTCTACTAAAATTTGAATGCATTTTATCTCCAAACTTTTTGCCAAACCTGCCTTGAGATATGGTGTGGTGTGTTATTAAGATTATAGATTACAAAGCTGAAGCCTTTTTGACACAGCCTTTGTTTTCCGGCCTAGATGGCCATTGGAGAGAAGTATTGTTTCTGGAGCTTGCCTGAAAAGGTAAAATTAGGTTTCTGCACTCTTCTAATAAGCAGTACAGTATGAGTTTGCTTGATAGCAGTTGCATGTTTGTTTGAAATGTTGGAAACTGTCAAATTTTTTGAATTAGGTTTTTATGTACAATCTTGAAGGCTGGTTCATCAGGATAGTGTTTATAATTTGTATGCAGCATTTTTTTAGCCAAGTGACAGTGGACAAATATGGTGTGAAGAATAAGTTTAATCATTCAAAAAGGGCCCATCTCAAACATTGTTATTTTACAATGTTATAGCTTAAACAAGTTGCTTATGTGTGGTGCATGTTTGAGAACCTCTCCTAACTAATAAGGAGAATAGATGAACGGATAGTCCTTTTCGCACTATCTAACCGCAAACAACTGAAAGAGTTGATGAACCTAATTTCTTAGGGAACAAAAATATGATGGCATATTACTAGAGTAATGTGAATATGCAGGTACAAATAGCAAAGAGTTGGGTAAGAAATGCTAAACGAGTAAGCTATTATGGTAAGCATGTCCATAAGGACTTCAGAAGCATTCCTCACATAGCCAGCAGCAGCATAAGGCGAAGAGGCTGCACCAGTAGAAAACATAAAAGAAACAAAGTGTTAGCTTGAAATTGCCATAAGTTTTTGTACTAGTTCACCGTATGATATAGTTTGAGTGTTGGCTTTTGAGGTAGGTGACAGAAGAGGCTCTAAGATCATGCAACTTTCTACAAAGGTGATTGAAAGTAGAAATTGATGGACAAGATGTAAACATACCATCCCTCAATGAAGCCTCTGTCTCCTTTCTTTTTTGTCCATGGTCTAAACTTCTTCCCAGTTGGGGGATTCTCGGTTTCAGTTGGGTATCCTTCAGAAAACAAAGCAGCGTAAAGGGTGAGCCATAGTATATCCTACGGAAAAAGAGATTTTATCACAGAGAAAGACAGGATGTGTTATGGGGGGACCTGATGGAGGTTGGGTTTCTTGTGTCTCTGTCTTGGCCATCTTGAAGAAGAAACAAGCAACGCTATCGGCTAACTTGTACTGGTGACTAGTATTAATCTGTATGTGGAAGTAATGGTGTTTGATCTGTAAATGCAGGTATATAGAGAGGCCCTTTATATACTGGAGTAGAGATTATGGTAAAAGGGTCGGCTACTAGTGTAATGCCTAAAGGGGCTTTTTCTAAAGGTGGTGAACTGGTTTTAGGTGGTCCATGTGTTTGAAGAGCATATTGTGATTCATAGTTTTGGTTTTGAACCTGCTCAGCTGACATGTGGATCTAATTCTTGAGAAAGGGTTTCGAGAAATGCTAGGGTCAATTGTTCATGCTTAGGCGACTCCCTATATAGCATATCCTTTAAGCAGTCTAGATACGTCTGTCGCCTTTTAGCTACTATCTTTCTTTGTAAACGTTGAGAGTATGAATCTTACATAGGAGAAAGGAGGGACTTTGTGTTATCCACATGTGCTCCACGTGCTCCAAAGCTTAGTTGTCTAACGTGTTAAGTCTGACGGCCATACGTGCTCCACGTCACTCGTTTTGTGTTATCCACATGCTAGGCTAGGGGAGCATGTTGAAAGTATGAATTCCACATCGGAAAAAAAGGGATCTCGCTTGTGCTTATAAATAATTGAGTTACTCCTAATATTGCTAATTGATTTTGTGGTGTAATTTTAATTTTTTTTATGTTTTTTACACCTTTCGGTGGAAGCCAGATTGGTGACCCAAAAAATTGCATTAGAAAAACTGTAAAAGATATGCGGGGGTTGCTTTAGATTTGGATTCTTTACTTGTTGAAGAGGATAATAAAAAGTAGTGTGAAACATGAAAAAGGTGGAAAATGGTATTAAAACATGACATTTGTACACTAATGTATCTAGTCAGTGAAGGTTCTACATAATTTTTGTACTTAGTTTTACAAAGAATATATGCATCCAGTATTGTCAAAAAGAAACGTGTTAGAACACGGTTTCGACAATATTGTGGGTAGGGATGGCAAATACCCATTGGTTATGGGTAACCGCGGTTATCCGTCCATTTAAATTAAACAGTTACGGTTATGGGTAACCGTTTAGATAAATAAACAGTTATGGGTATAACCATTTACCCGCGAAATTTAAATTGGCGGTTATGGGTATTAATCGCGGTTATAAACAGGTAACCGTTTACCTATTTATTTTATATATGTAAACTAACATAAATCATGTTCTCGATCTAATAATACTTAGCACCTAATAAATTAGCAAGGAATTCATCAGTCATTCTCTCAATAACACTACTATAAGAATGATGATTCTCATCATCAAGGAATTCATCAAATTAATTTAAATTCCTTACGGATAACCGTGAAATTGACATAAATGTCTTATAAACAATTTTTGTAACCCAATAATACTTAGCAAATATTATATTTACCTTCATTGGTAATAGTTAAAAATATCATCCGTAAACTATTATTTCAATTATTAGAATGATATAAAGACTTAAAAAATTAAAATACGGAAATATATGATAAATGTACCTATAACGGTGTTTAATTGTCAAAAAAATAAAATTATGACAATTTTTTTTTTAATTTTCAAGTTGTTAAAAAACATATAGACGGGTGAAAAAGGGGTAATGGTAAAAAAAAAAAAAACAGGGTTAAAAAGGGTAAATGGGTAAACGGGTATTAAACGGTTACAGTTAAATGGGTATGCGTTTATGGGTATGGTTAACCGTTTATAAACGGTTATGGGTATGGGTATAACCGTTTAGGCAATTACTCAACGGGTAAACGGTTATGCGGGTATGAGCTTAAACGGTTATGGGTAAATAATCGCGGTTACCCGCCCGCCATAACCATTGCTCATCCCTAATTGTGGGTGTTACAACATGGGTTGGGCTAAATCACACTTGGTACCACTTAAAATCTCCAATTGAAAGAAAATATCAGTAAATCGCTAGTGACATTAATGAACATGGCATCAAGCTTAGCTGAGCTAGTGGGCCTCAAAGGCTTAGCACAGCCCAAAGTGGTTTCTTACACCCAGTAAGGCATGATAGGCAAACAACTAATTGAGTTGATGCAAGGTAACAAGTCTTAAATCCTCCAATCACAGTGCTGTCATGTGTACCCTAATGAGTTGCTTTTGTGCTCTTCTAACCAATATATAAGGACATGACCTTCAACCGTGAGAGGTAATTGTTTAGTTACCAAGAAACCTTAAGCTCTTTAATTTCATTTACCTTTTAAATCTAACTTATGCATTAGAGAACCCTTGGTTCACACTACACTAGAATACAAGGTTTAACTTGTTTTTTCATTTCTGGTTACAGTGATTCAAAAATGAAACACTTGGCATTATAATTAATAGTAAAGATAAATTGCAAATACCCTTTCAAATTTACATTAACATCTGTAAGACTCTTTTTGTTTGAGCCTCTATGATGAGTCGATTTTATACTAAATATTATTCCTTATTCTTGGTATATCTTGATTATTATTTTAGTGAGATTTTGATGCTTTGCTAGGTGTTTTTAATGTAGGACATGCGAACTTATTCTGAGCATAAAGTAACCAAACGGTGGAATTTTTTAGTGATTCCAATTGAAGCGGATTCATGAATTTGTCAAGAACGTTGTATTAAAATTTCATAATTTTATCCTCAAGCATCTGATTGTGGCAAAATAATTTATGCCCAGCGCGCAGTGCTGGCAGATTGGGCTGCAGAGCTTATTTGCTACTTTTGGGCTAGAAGATGATGGATTTTGGACTTGGGGTCTTCTTGGAAATTGAAGAGGATTTCCTAATCTTTAATTCAAGTCATTTTGGACCTGTTTTGGAATCCTGGAGGTCCAGAAACGTGGCTATTCCTTTTGATAGGCAGATTTTCTAGTTGAAATGTAATTCCTAGTTATCTTTTTATTATTTTATTTCCTAGTTTTTAGAAAACCTTTTCTAGGAGGGTTTTAATTTGGAGTAGTATAAACAAGGCGTTTTAGCCATTAGGGTTTGGGGGGACGCAACATTGATAGAACTTAGCAAAGCTTTGGAGAATTTCAGTCTTTTTATCTACAAGGTGTTTCCATCCTTTTTCTAGTTAATGATATTTTATTTGATTTTTATTATGAGTATGCATAACTAATTCCTTTTGCTAGGGTTAGGCCATGAGCCTTAGTATGAATATGTGATTTTATTAATTTGCTTATGAATGGATGCATGCGTACTTTGAATTATTAATCACCGTGATTTAAACTATCTATATATTTTAATGATTGATCACCATTAGGATATTTAGACAAGTAATTTGATGCAATTTTTGTTGGAACATCACCCTGAAATTGAGAAAGGCTTCTTGTGATTAGTAATTGTAAGTTCACTTAAGACGAACATCACGCTCTTAAGGGTTGCATGGTTTTTCAAAGTGTTTTCACAAAGCTTAATGAGTCTTACATGTTTATATTTAATTTGAACATCACAGATGGATAGCATGTTAGATTTTGTTTTCGCTTGAACATCACGAGGAAAATATGCATTAGGAAAACCTAATCTTCAAAGTATGTATGTGGAAATTCATAAGTAATTAATAAAATTATATAGGATTGTTAACAGTGACGGCTAAGCCCTAGTATTTCCCTTAATTGATTTTAATTTAAAACCGTTTTTCTTCTTTGCTTTTATTATTTTCAAATTTTCAAATTTCTTTATTGTTAATTTAATCTTTTCAAATTCAAAAATCTCAAATCTTTAATAAAAATCTGTTTTAATAATTAATTAAGAGTTAATTTAATTACAAATTAGTCAAACAATTTTTAGAGACAACGACCTTGCATGAGCAATTATACTACAATTACCTTGTATTCTTGCAAGTATTTTCGGTGATTTTAACCCTATTTCCACAGGTACTAAAAATCATATCACTCTGCTGCCATTCATTATCTCTTCCAGCTAAAATGCTTTTATGGCAGGGAGGCAATTTCAGGACAACATCTTCACTGCACATGAGGTGTTCCATTTTTTGAAGTTAAGAAAAGGTAAGGGTAAATTCGAGCTAGCCATGAAGATTGATATGAACAACGCTTATGACCGGGTGGAATGAGATTTTCTGGAGGCCGTTATGGTAAAAATGGGGTTCGATGCAATCTGGATTAAGTGGGTTGTGGGTTATGGGTTGTGTAATCACTGTTGGTTTCTTAGTCTTTATCAACGGACAACCATGAAAGAAATTCTCACCATCAAGGGGCTTGAGGCAGGGGGACCCAATCTTGCCTTATCATTTCCTCATTATCAGTGAGGTTCTCTCTTAGTTTTTTCAGTGTGCATGCGATTCTGGCTTCCTTGAGGGTATACAACTTAGTTTGAACGGTTTGATGTTCTCTCATCTCCTCTTCGTGGACGATACCCTTATTTTCTTAAAAGCCCCATCCATAAATTGTTAGAACATCGTTCAAATCCTTGACTTATATTGTCAAGCTTCTGGGCAAGAGTTAAGTTTGCAAAAAATCTACGGTGTTCTTCAGGAATAACACACCAGAGAGATTAAATATTGAGTTGGCCTGGTCTCTTGGAATGCCTTCAGTGGAGGATCTAGGCAACAACCTTGGTATTCCTGCCATTTGGGGGAGATCGAAGTGGACAACCCTGATATCTGTAAAGGACAGTGTGTTGGCTAAGGTCCAAGGTTGGAAACATCGGTTTCTCTGTCTTAAGCAGGATTGGAGGTCCTTATCAAATTTGTTGCCCACATCGTCCACGCATATCCCATGAACATCTTCTTTTTTTGAGATACGTTGTGCAGAGATATTGATGCCACAATTGGTAGATTCTGGTGGGGCCAAAAGTTGGGTGAGTGTCAGATTCATTAGGTAAGTTAGGAAGTTATGGGGGCAGTGAAAGAGAATGAGGGGTTGGGCTTTCGAAACTGGAATTTAACTTGGCTCTTCTTACCAAATAGTGCTGGAGACTTCTGCATGAGCTCTCTCTAGGCCTGGGTGTTCAAGGACTGGTACTTCATTTCGATGTAGCTAGGTAATGTTAAGCATGTGGGGAGGGAGGTAGGGCCTTTTAGGCCTGGTCGAGTATCCTAGCAGGTAAGGATATGCTGTTTTAAGGTTCTCACTAGAAAATCATGAATATGGCTCAAACTCGGGT